GAGAAACTGAAACCTGACTGGTGTTTTTCACTTGGTTAAGTGAGTCCACAGCACAAATTCAGTGCTGCAGCTCCTTTGTTATTGTCTAATAACTGGCAAATTAAGCATAAAATTTGGACTCAAGTCAAATTTCTGTGAAGCAATTATTGAAAACCCATTCCAGTGTTCTTGTTACCAAAGCTGGGAATAAACAATCGGTATATTCCAGGGTTTCTTATACAACTGACCTGTTAAGGCACATAGAAACCAATAATCGTTTATCATCAATGAAATCTGAAATTAATTGTTTTTAAATCTACACAGAAAATACAAAATGATCTATCATTTGTAGAAATGCATTGTAGAAAATGGACACAATTTCATACTTTAGCTATAGCTTTACATTCTGTTTGCATACCCTACAAAAAAGTTAAGATGCAGAAAACTAGAAGGTTTAGAAATGAGAAATTTAATTTGCTGTGAAATTACATGATAATACTTCAAAGCTCAGCAAATGATTACTTTGTCCTCCAAAAGAAAGCTTTCTATTATTTGGCAAGGTCTTGATGCCCATTCGAAATCATGAAACAAATTACTTTTAGGTCTTTGCCTTCATAACAGATTCATAAGAAATAACAGTGTGATTGTAGAAATCATTAAGATCTGTGTGAAAAAATAAAATAACTTAAATTTCAATTTGTTCCTTGTTTCTGTATTTCTTTGTGGACTTGGATGGGGTTTTTGACCAGGGGCATTAACATGATTTGTTAGGTTTTGCAACCTAAGGCAAGTTTTTCAAATCTCCAAGCATCTAACATCTACCTGAGGTCTGGGAACTTAGAAACTATGTAGTCCTACAATGTGAGTAAAAGAGATAAAACAACTGTTTAGTGGGCATGTGTTTTCTCAAGATAGATGAAGAGATTAATTAGGTGGTAAGACGAATAGAGGTTTGTCTGTGAGCTGAATAGGGCATTTTTGTATCGCAAATGATAAAATACACAAATTTCAGAATACTTGCAATCAGTTTAATTTTATTTATACAGCACCAGTTCACAACAATAGCTATCTGTTTTATATTTTAAAGTAAACCTCCAACAATATTTAAGAAAGAACTCCAGTGATCCAATGATCCCATGAGCAAAGATGGTGGGAAAGAAGAACTCCAGCAGAACCAGGCTCAGGGAGGGGTAGCCATCTGCTTTGTTGGGGAGAGAGTGGAAAAAGAAGCGAGCATACACAGACCATGGACAACAGACTACAGACTGCAGGAGTGACACAAAAGTCAAAGACATGCAATTATGGTATATAAAAGCACCAAGAGTGAAAAGACAAGAGTGGCAAACAAATGCTCAGTGCATTATAGAAACTCCCCAAGAAGCCTATAGCAGCATAACAGGGTCAACTAATCCAGACATCACAATAAGCTTCATCACGGGGTAAGCTTTGAAAATATTCTCAAAAGTATAGAAAGTGTCTGTCTCCTGAACCCAGACAGGGAGCTGGTTCCACAGGAGACAATTTGTGTTACATTCAGTGCAACAACTCTTCAATTCAACCAATTCAATTTGATTTGTTATTTCAGCGTTTTCTTTTCATTTTAAAGTGCTGAATGTCTCCATATAAAGATATTTTCCTTGCCTAGTGATGCACCCTGTTGGCCATTTTGTATATAACATTGCACAGTTTAAGAACAGAAATAAAATATGAAAGGCAGGTAGTGAGTAAATCGTAGTATCTGAATAAGCTAGATTATATCACATATAATTATGGTGGTAATGATGTAGTTACCGACCATAGACAAAAAATAGCTAAGGAAGAACAACATTATTTGTGGCAATATCAAATAAAATATAATAAAATAAACGCTGCAATATATGTAATCAGTGTAATTCAGCTGTAAGAGGCTCATAAATAACTTAGCGCACTTAACTTTAACATTGTTATTCATAGAGTTTAGTAAAACTGAAACAAAGGAACATTATTTTAAAATATGAAATTGGGTCACATGCACATGCAATAGCATTCCTGCACAAAGTCATGTTTTCTTTGGGTGTGAGATGGTCATTACCCCAGTAAAACCTGCCACTTCATCATAATATATGTGGTTATGAGCACATATTTTTAACAGGCTTGTGCTGTTGATGCTGGTTTGCTAGATGAGAGCGGCAATAAATCATAATATTAAATGTCAGATATCCCATGGGACTGTCAAAACTCTCTGACATCAAATAGTTAAATGAAATATAACCAAAACTGAAACTCCAAATGGTGCAATTGCTCACTCAGCTGCTGCTTTTTCCAGATTCACTGGCTTCATTGGGCCATGTGTGTAATTCTGAATCATATCGTCTGTTATTAATGTCAATCAAAACTAGTCACTATGATCCAAATTGCTGATGTGCTCAGCTGTGGCTAAAAAACAAACAAAAAAAACAACCTGTTTGAATTTGAACTTATTCAAATATTGGTGATTTTATACTTTTTATAGCACGATTTAAATAATTCACAGATATCTTTTGTAGAGCAAAAATATACACAAACAAACACTGAAAACAGAGCAACAAACTATTCTAAATATGAGCTCTGCCTTTTTCTGGATAACAGAACTGACAATGGGTAAGGCTCTGGTCACAAAATGAGAGGAAAGTTTAAACCCAAAAGCCACATTCAGGAGGTTATTTACTTGGAAGTCACTCAGCTGTTTGCTGTAAAAAGATTTAAGTGCAACAAGGAAGAGGAGTAGTCTGCAGCATTCTGCCATACTGCTGATCATCTCTCACCCTCAGTCATTCCAGTCATACCAGTGAGTGAGGATCTCCTGCTTCTTTATAAGACGGCGTGTTGCCATGGCATCGAATGCCAGCCATATGTTGGAGGCTGCCCTGGAGCAAATGGATGACATTATTGCTGGTAAGAGGTCCCTGCTCATGTTATCTGAAATTCAAAAGACTTCCCAGTTTGTAATTGCAGGCTTGCGTAAAACCAGATATATTCACATGATTTGAGTGTGAGTTCTTCACATCTTTGCATAGTAAGAAGAAAAACAAGTTAAAGATAAAGATAAAAGAGTTTTAAAGCATTTGTAGAGCATGAGAGACAAGTCTAGAGAAAGTGAAAACAGTTCTAGTTTTTATGAGATAACAGCTTTGCCTCTTTTTGCAATTGTCTTCCTAATTCTTTCTCATACTTATGCAATTTTAATATTTCTCATCGGTTTGAAAATCTCACAGCATACTAAATTCAAACACCACGACTTACATTTTGGCTTCTTCCCAACTGTGTTTTCTAGCAGAGGTGATACATTTGAGTCGCTGCTCTTTGTCACAGCCATAGTGGAGCTGTTGCAAAGGGTCAAAAAACAAGGCTCTATTAATAGAGGTGGCGGCTCGATCATTATCATGCTTCAGCGAAAAACCATTTCACGTGCAATAACTAATAATCACACTCTGTCACCAGAAACCAATATTTACAAAGTATACATCTGGCCATGTCCGCCATATGTCCTGATGTATTATTGCCCTTTAATTTAACTTCAGATATTATATGTGGAAAGCAACTTTCTGCAGTTTAGACATGGTGATTACACTAACTGCTACTACATGCTGAACCTCTAATTTGTGGACTTAAGAAGCCACAGTCAAAGTATGATGCTATTTACATTCAGCAAGCTGCATGAGAGCATATTAGTGCCCTCAAGAGGTCATTTCTGGAACTATTCTTACTTGCGCTTCCTAGAAACTTTGACTTTTAATCAGTTGTGTACTAAGACAAATACCCAAGAAGTTAGTAGGATGGTTAAATAATTAAGGTGTGTGAATGTTACAGTATTGATTTCATGTGTCCCTAGGGAAAATGGGGGAAGGCCTGTTCAGTGCTCGTATGCAGTTAGATGTCAAAGATTATCAGTCTCCAGAATGCAGTCAACAGTTGACCCTTCCCCCACCCTTGGATCCTGCCCTCAAGGCTCTTCAGCTGACTGAGGCCCTCAGGGCAGTGCTGGAGGGGCAGGGGAATGAGGAAGGACAGGATGCTCTCAGGAAACAAGTATCTGATGATACTGCAGATATTATATTAAAATGGTTGGGAAGAGGTGGGGTGAGTACTGATTCCCAGGTTTGTCACCCATCTATAACAGTTATATAACACCTCACCTAGCATGCAAATCCATAGCTCAGTATGAAATATTTACAAGCTAATGTCTAATTCTAGTACAACAAGAGAACTGAATTGATAAATATACTAATATTTTGGCATGGACTAGCGCTACAAAGAACATGGATTTTATTAGCTGCATGATTTGGCTGTCTTTGATCCTGGCCATCAGTACCTGGAGGGCTTTTTCCTGTCTGTGAAGAAGTAGTGAGCTGGAAGCAGGATCTTTAGCAAATGGCACTGTTAATGAGATCCAGAGCTACTGGTTAAAGCACAAGCAGCTGCTCACTGTTTTTTGGTTGTTGTTTTCTTTTTTAATTCTCCCTTATCTCCTTCATTTCTTTTTCTGCAGTAGTTGTCTGAGTTGTCCTTCAACAGTTTTGGCCCTCTTTTACTATGCTTCTGCTCAAGTTCGATATTGTAAACTTTATGCTCTTGTTCCCCTTCAGTGTCCTATAGTGCCCCCCTCCCCTTCTGCTTTGCCTGTACTGACTTCTTTCTCTCCACCACATCTGACAAGCATGTGTGGCAAAAAGTTTCCTCTCCCCTGTTCCCCTTTAGGAAGCCCCACAAAATTAGCTAGGCTGGAAGGTACTTAAGACAGTGCAAGAGAATACTGGAGACAAGCAGAGAGAAGTCCAGAGAAAGGAAGTCAGGGCAGAAAAAGATGAATGATCATACATGAGATGCAGAAGAAATGCTGAGTTGTGGTAAACACTGTAGCAGTTTGAGTACATGTGTTAGAGAAACAGGAGAAAGAAAGAGGGGCAGTTAAAAAGAAGTACAAAAAGGGAAAAGAAGAAAGAAAGGGAGTACAGCCAACTGGCATAGTTTGACTTATTCAGCTCAGCTCTAAAAGTCTCAGGCAGCCCAGACTCCAAACCACACGGACCTAGATCCTCTCTGCACACTCTGCAACTGCAATGTGGAGGCTCTATAAAAGTAGGAGATAGAGAGTGCAGCACAGTAAAGAGCCATTCTTTCAAAACGCTATGGATTTTGTGTTCTGGTTTCTACCAGGGGCTGAATTCTTTCAGTTTTTAACATTAAAAGTCAGACCTGCAGTGTAATGGGCCTGCAGAATGGAGTATGATATTGATTTCTACAAACATTTTGCCTGGCTCAGAAAGGTAAGATGTTTTCTACTTGCATGTCCACTCTTCTTACTTTCATACTGAACCAAAATTGCAGGGTCTTGTTTGTTTATTTTCTTGCAGTGTTGTTGCTTTTACAGTATAATTGCCGTTGCCATGGTAGATAATTTGAGGGAAGATGTGTTTAGTTTTTGAACTAAGGAGGTGTGCTGCAGAACACATGCCGTCTTAAACACACAGGTCCCTTGTGGAGCAGAAAAGGGGGCAATGACTATGAAGCATTAAAAATACCAAATGTCTTTATCTGGTATGTGATTAGAAAAATGTTTTCCATTTAGTTTAAGTGTGACTGTTAGAAAATCTTCCAATTTTTCAATGTTCCGTTTAAAAAAAGTTGGTTGCAAAAAGTGTTTTTAAGAAGCTAAAAAACACTTTTACAGAATCTTTAACAGTGAAGCAAACTGAGGTTGACTAGTGAGCTTACTTCTGTGTCATATGTTAAACTATTTGAGAATAATAAATGGACAAACAGGGTGAGATCATTTCCTGACTCTTTAACCTATAGAGTCTTTGGATAGCACATACCATCTTGCTTCCATTAAAGTCATTACTTATCACTGCCCCCATTTGGTGAATTCTTACTGAATTCTTATAGGAATCCTTTTCATGCCAATCCTACAAGCTAATCATATGTTTGGTATTTTTTAAGAATCTGCAAGGGGAAAATTGGTGATCTAAAAATGTTTGTATAGATATTACTAACGTTCATAATACTGTGTGAAAATGCAATGTTACTTTCAGCTTGTTTTTGCATAAAAAACAACATAACATAACATTTGTATCAAAACTATGAAAACACAAAGATTCAAAAACTAGAAATGACTGCTCACTTTTGAACACAGTTAAAAGAAATTATTCTTCCAGTTACTCCCAAGATAGCCTCAAAAAGTCTTTTTTTTCTGAATGTATCAACTATAATCCTGATTTGAAGCTTCAGATAGCTTCAGTAATGCTATTTTTTAAAGAACATATATGGACTTTTAACACCTGGAGATAAGTTTCAACGCTGTGTATAGATCTAAACAACATGGAGACCATTCATATCATTATCATGGCATTATTTGTGTCATGTTGAGGCTGTGTGCAGGCAGTAGTGATGGCAAGGAGGATCCAATGTGCAGACACTCGGAGGAAGAAAGCAAACTCAAACTCAGATTTATTGCTAGATGGTAAACAGAGAACTGCCAAAACTGAGAATACAAACACTAAACTGAAAATAACAATAACCTGAACTGGCAGACAGCTGACTAGAACAAACAGCATGAAATGTGGGTAGATCACAACACTGACACAGAGAAACACAAGGCTTAAATACACAGAGGGAGCAATCAGGGAATGGGAAACAGGAGGGAAACACAGCTGGGGCAAATCAGGGCTGACGAGACCAAGGAAGCAAAACCTGATACAATAACACGAGACGCAGACTTTCAAAGTAAAACAGGAAAAATAACACAGAGATGCAGACTTGACACGGGGATACAGCAGAAGGGGAGACAGCAACTATGGATCACAGAGAGAAAACCAGAATACTAAAACTCCAACAATACCCACACAGAGAACCTAAACTAAAAATAATCCTATAACCCATAAGACAAAGCTAGAATAGAATGAAATAAACAAAATCAAAGAACCAAAAACACAAAACACTGGGTTGACGACCCAGGCACCCTAACAATTTGTTCCTGTCCCAACACATATTTTAGGAGAATGACCTGAATGTCAGGGTTGTATTGTTTTAACTTAACACAATTAATCAGGCCAGGAAGCAAGAAGACTGTAAGCAACATGTTATTTTGATATATTATCCTTGCAGGTAAAGAAAAAAGAAGTCTGTAAATACAATTAAATACATTCGAATATTATACTGCTAAAAATATGATGCGTGGACTATTTGAAAGACTATACTTTTTAAAAAAATTAATTATCACAAACTGCTTGAGTTTATTTGTACAGACTTTTTAAACTGGAGTATATAATGTCCCTATGAGTATTGTTGAAAGGCTTGATCTTTGAGAAATTTGAGTTCATTTGTTTGCTCTTTACCGCGCTTGTACACTAAAGGTTCTGAATTATCCCTGACTAAACAGAACTCAGACGTCAGCCAACACTTCCCCCCAGTAATCAGCTGGTAAAAAATGTTCTACACAAATGTTAATGCTAGATAAGAACTTTTAAACCTATTACAGTCTTTGCACACATTACACACATTAGACACAATACAAAGTGTGTGTGTGTGTGTGTGTGTGTGTGTGTGTGTGTGTGTGTGTGTGTGTGTGTGTGTGTGTTGTGTGCTGAAAGACAGATTTGACCCACTGTGCTGCTACTCTCACTTAGCAGTGTAACCAGTGAGCCTAACTGCTGCCCTGTATTCTGAAGGTAAACCTCCATTCAAACGCTAACAGTGAGTCTTACCAGGAGCGTTTGTCCCGTCTGGAAGGAGACAAAGAATCACTAATTCTACAGGTACAGAAATTTCTCTGGATGCTTTTCACTTGTTTCATGCATCTTGAAGACATCTCCATTGGGTTCTGTTTATAAAATGTATATGACCTATGAAAAGGTTGTTGCACTGGCAACATATTTAACAATAAAGTTGAATCACTTCCACACTGTATGATTCTGCATAAAAAAAGAAAAGAAAATGGGCACATGATACCGCACATTCAGTAGGAAGTAAATCTAATCAGTGCTCGTATCAGATAGCAGTGTTAGAGAAGAGAGGTGAGAGAAGGAAGGTGAAAGGACAAAGGTAGGTCTCAGTATTGTGTTGGAAATGTTGCGTAATTGTGTTTTTGTTCAACTTGTGGGTGAAGTAACAGTTTCAAAGTGGGCTTGGTGCTGTTACAACACTTGAATGTCTTGTTCTGTGTGATCTGTTTGCCAGTGTATGTGTAGGTGTAGGTGTGTTTAGCACTCAAGACTGCTCGGCAAGTGTGTCTTAGACAGGTTGAGGCTAGCACCTTTGTGTGCTGTAGCTGTGTGTGAGAGAAGTCAGATGCCCTGTTTGTTTCTTCAGCCCGCGCATGAAACATTTCTTTGGAAAATCCATTCTAGTTGGCTGGTTGGGCCAGCTTTTTGGCATATGATTAGCTATTATGTGGCCTTAATAGTTTCTCTGCAGATTTAAATTTAACCTGGTTTCTGCTGAAATTGCTGGAGTCACTGAAGTGTGGCAAGCACAAAAAAAACCTTCATTTCTTTGAAAAGGAAATGTTTACACAGTTTGATCTGGCACAGATGTGGAAATGTCAACAAAAATGAGCAGCAGTCATTAACTGAGAAAAGCTGATATTAATAAATAGTGCACTGTGAGAAACTTTGTAGTAAAAGAGAAAATGTGAATCCTGAAGAATGCTAGGCCCAGGCTGTATTTGTGTGATAAAGTTCACATCTAAGCGATGTTAAAACCATTTTATTCTCCAGCCTTTGCTTAGAAAACACATCCTCATGTCTAATATCTTTCCATCCACCTTCACAAAAACACACAGGTGAGTGTGCTGACAGACCAGGTGGAAGCGCAGGGGGTGAAGATCAGCGATTTAGAGAGTTCTTTGATGGAGCATCGGCACAAACTCAACTCCACAGAGGAAATGTTACAGCAGGTATTCAACTGGCCTTAAATCATGCTTATTTTTGTCAAATCCTTCTCTGTACTAAATACTTGACTTTTATTGCTGGAACAAAATAAGGTATGAAAAGTTATTATTTCAATACTGTTACCCCTATATAATTAACTGGGACAGGGCCTCAGACTGTCCCTCTATCGTTTAATTAATTTTTTCTCATAAACTTCAGAATGTTATTTGGGATGAGTTCAGCATCATGGAAAGAAATTCCTTGCTCAGATTCCAGTGCATCTGGCTGCAGATTACCCCAGCAACCAAAATATTTAGGACACTCAGACTCATTCCAGGACAGCGTCTCAGAATGTCTGTCTGGTTCATGCAGGGCCAGACTAGTCTGGCTGGGCAGGTGATCATAGCATGAGTAGCCACACCCCTAATCTATAACCACCAGAACTGCTTGCAAACAGGCATTAAAAGAGTAAGAAACAAAGGGAGAGGAGACGAGAGAGAGAGAGAGAAAGAGAGAGAGAGAGAGAAAACAACAGAGGGAGGGTGGAAGGGACGAAGAAAGGAACAAATGAGGAAGGAGGAACAGCTGAAAAAGGTGGAGAGATGGGCTGGAGAAAAAAGAAAATGAGGTGGTGCTCCTTTAAGAGTTACAAGTGTACAAGTGTGTATACTTTCAAGGACTTTGTTAAACAGTGGCGAGAACGCTGAATGGAATAGACGTATGAAAATTTACTGAAACCACAGCATCCATGAAAGGAATACACTTTGGTTTCCTTTACTTCATGCAGACATTGGAAAATGAACAAGGTAGTATGTTTTATTCTTATATTGCAGTGCAAGCTTCATTCTACTGTTTCAGTCAGTTCTGACAAATTTCAAGAGTGCCAGAAGTGTTTCTTAGCTACCTGATTAGCTGTGAATTTGATTTGCAATGTCTACTTGTCTGTGCCATGCTGCCTGAGTGTGCAGAGTATCAAAGGGCAGCCGGGAATGGTTTCTTGGAGACATGGTCATTATGAGGCTTTGGACCTGAGCCGCAAATCTCTTTCTGGTGACAAAGCTCTAATATTTTCCATGTGCACTCTGGAAGAATTTCAGATACTTTCCAAAGTCAGCCTTTTAAATGGATGTATCCATACGTACAGTTTGCCTGCCTCCGATGATTATTTCTAGGCTTTAAGTGATTTAGCACCTGCTTGACATCAACCAAATTAGTTATACATCTGCCCGCATAGTCTGGCTTGACTCTCAAGCCTGTCAGCCATTCAGCACAGACTTTCGCAGAACCATTTAGTGGCAGCCTCTCTTAGCACTGGGTTTGATAGGCAGCTGTTTACAGGACAAAAGCACCTGTTGAAGATATTAAGTTATTTTGATGTTGTTCAAGGATGTTTGGCATGCTTTTGCCACCTCTCTCTCTCTCACACTCTCTCCACCAGTGCTGTGTGTTTTGAGTGAGCTGTGAAATGGGCATTATAAATAGTGGTCATGGGTTGTGTATATTTAGCCTCTCAAACAGCTTCTAAAACCAGAAGGGACTGTCATTACAGAGCTGGTAGTTCGCTGTGTCTCATGCTTAATGTTGGCTTTGTTCAGTAAGTATTAAGGGGATAATGTATTTGTGTATGTCTGTTTGTGTTGCTTCATGCTCTTGCTGAATGTTGTTGATGACAGGAACTCCTGCATAGGGCGTCACTGGAGAACCAGAAGCTGAGTCTTATGGGGGAGGTGTCCTACCTGAAACTAAAGCTGGCAGACATGGAAGGAAAACAGGGCCATGGGGGTGAAAGGCAGCACAAAGCAGAGGTATGGCTTCTCACTAAATTAAACAGGACAATTCCTATCACCAGATATTTACACTCCAATTAAATGTACTTTTTTAAGTCAGCAATGTAAAACTTTGTCATTTTCTCTTGGATAATACATATACCCAAAAGCAAAAAGCAGCCATATTAAGCACGACCAAAAGTTGATTCACTTGTTCAATTTAATTGGTAGACTATCAATCATTTCACCTTGTAAATAGTGGGGACAGGAGTAATTAGATTATCTAAAATCTTCATCAGCTTCTACTTTACTTCAGTCCCTGGAAATTTGAACTCTTCCTGGTATGATGAGGTAAACACAAAAATCTGCTTTGTGTTCTGATGGATCTAGCCTTGAAGTCTGCTGCTGATTTTATGGAAGACCGTAAACACATTCTGGACAGATGAAAGGAAACATTTAACCAAAGCCCAGCTCTGTTGTTCCTGGGAAAGGTCTACAGGAAAAAAAAAAGTATCCAAGGAGTTTAATGTTTTTTTGTCAGTCTCAACTGAATCCTGTATTTGCTTAAGGCTACTGTGTTAGGTTACCAATAGACCTCTGAGCATTCAGTGTCGACTTTAGAAAGAGAAAGCAGGGAAAGCAGGAGTGTTACTAGACAGGATACTGTAATGTATGTAGTTACTGTCAAAACACTCCTGGTCAAAGACTCTTTGTGTCCTCAGGTTAGAAGACTTCAGGCATGGTGGATGACAGGCCAAATATGAGTGTGTGTAGGCTTCGGCCCAGAGAATTTTATTCTTAGTGGTGTCTACTGGTTGAGTAGGTCCTTCTCCCCATATTGGAAAAAAGATCATTTGAAGACTTTTGAATTTTGTAAAGTTTGTTATTTCTAAGCAGGAAAAACCCCCACAGTAAAGCACTATGTGTTTTAGCAGATTGCAGTTTTTAACTAATTTACAGTTACGTTTTTAATTCTCACTTGCTTTTCTAAATCCAACTTTCCCAGCTGCTTAGAATAAATAGAGTAGAAATAAATGTACTTTAATGGTCTCCCACGTGCTGCCTCTACTACACAAACATGCCCACACATATTCATGCTTCTACACATGCCTCCTTGCTGTAGAGCCAGCAAGCTCACAGTTAAATTTAGCCATCAAGGCGCTCTGGATCATCTGTCATATCCGCTGTACTGGACCTCAAATGAGACTTCCTCTGTCCACAGTCCCAGCATAACTCGGCTGCTTTCTGAAGGAACACTGACAGGCATCACCTCTGAATTATTCACCCCTACTGAAATGTATCATTGCAAATAACAATTTTGTTTTTGAAAATGGCGATATAGTTATGATCAACATAAATAGCTGCTTAGCAATGCCCGTTTGAAAAGAGACTGACACTGGGAAACCAACCAATGACGTATGTTTTTCAAAGGTTTAAACATGTATTTATTGAAGACTACATATGTACCTGAAATACATCAAAAAATGTTGAAAAGGTTAATTTCTACTAATATATACTGTATTCACACTCAGACAGACAGATACCTGCCCCACAATGTTTCATCTTTTCTTTCTAAACATTTCTCTCAATCTTTTTCTCTCCCACTACATCTGGCAGACTGTAGTGAATTTCATTAGTGAGCTGCAGGAGCAAATATATCAGTTTCAGAAGGAAATCAATAGCAAGATCCAGGAGAAAAAGGCCCTGGAGATCCCAAATGACAGCAGGCTTCCTGTGGAGTGCCCCGCTGAGTCTTCTGAAAGCCAGGATTCAAACCTGGGGGTGCCATGTGACAAAACCTCGGGGATAATGAACAAACTGGAGGACGCTCCAAACGGGGCCGATGGAAACACAACTACCCTGGAAGAGGGCAGTTCAGATGCAGAGCAAAAGTACTACTGTGGAGGAGAAAGTGTAGGCATAGCTTACTTGCATGACTTCTGTTGTTGCGTACAGCATGCGTTGTCTTACTCTGGTGTGTGGGATCCTTAGGTTTAGATGCAAATGAAACAACCGCTCACCAAACATCCTCAACAGCATTTATGTCGCTATAGAAAAACCAGCAAAACTAATAAGTGCCTGACACGGTTAAGAGCTGCATTTAGTGTGCTGTGTCTTGTGTGAAAAAAAACAAACAAACAAAAAATAAATAAATCCTTTTTTAAAAGTAAAATACATTTTTTTCATTTTCTCACACATTCTGTTACAGGGCTTGCTTAAGGAACTCAGGATTCTCAAGGACAAAGTCGAACACCTGGAGGATCAGAAGTTACAGTACGAGAAGAAACTCAAAGCAACAAAGGTAAAAGAAAGTTCAGGTTTATGTGCTGTGTGGACGTTGCACTACACCATCACTTCCCAAATTCCACCATTAACTGTCCACTCAGCTTTCCTAAAAGCTGTCCAATCTGATGTTCCTGCCAGTTAAGTGAGTCATTCCTTTTTGCACATGTTCTCCCATTCTCAGACACCTATGTTTATTTGGGAACTCTGCAAGCTATTTTACTTTCTAAGTTAAAGCATGATAGAAATATACCTAATAATAGCTCTTTAATCATTATTGTTGTAATTTGGAGTGATTTAATGATATTAACTTTTTAGACTTTTCCCATTTATACTTGCTCTCACCATTTGTCCTCTATTATGATAAAATCTCTACCACTCCCATTATTTTTACATCCCTCCCTGTGTTTTTTTTTTTTTTTGCTATGTTTGTGGTACAATAACTATACACGTCTAAATGCTAAATATGCCTTGTTATGGTGTCAACTTGTTTGGTCTCCTTGCAAATCTGGTTTCAAAGGGCACGTCTGCTAATTCCCTTATAGATCTATTCGTTCACAACAGACAAGCTGCTGCAAATGGTAATTGGCAAGCTGTATAGTTACACCTTGACTGGCTTTAGGGTATTTATTTCTCAAGGGAGGCTGATAATAATTATTATGATTTAATATACTCTTATTCAAAAACATATTGCAACCTGCCGAATAGCATAATGAATAAATGCTACATTTTATAGACACATTCTTCCTTGCAGTTCTCAGGTGGAATCTTTGGTTACTAGCATCAGGGCCAAATGTTCTGATCAGTATTTGAGATATGAAGTTTATTTTCCACTGCTCATTTGCTTCCACACGCATGCTGATAGAAAACACAGGCAAACAGATCAGCTTGAGTCAATTTCATTGCCATCTGTGTGTTCCTTCTGTAACTTGCTTCAAAACAACCTATAAACTCCAGATAGCAATGACCTAACATTTGGTACTCTAAACATCACAGAAGTGATATTTACGTGCCTTCTTGTGGGTTTTCATATATAAGCAATGGTGGAAAAAAGTTTTGGGCTTCACTCGAGGACATGTGCTGACACTTAAACTTGAAATGCATACATACATCTTATTTTTATGAATGTGGAAATGTTTTTAGGTGTTAATCTTTAAAGAGCACATACAGTACACGTCATCTGCTGGCATTTATTTCTCGCTGTGTGTTACCCACAGGCAGAGATCAGCAGCCTTCAGCAGCTCCTGCACAGTAAGAACGCTGAGATTGAGAGCTTGCACTCTCAGCTGCTGGCCAGACCCTCTTTAACCACAGAGAGCACAGAGAGAGGTAAGCAAAGCTGCCAGCCTCAAGCCCTCAGCCGACCTGCCAACAACAGCGTCTCACTCAAAGTTACCCAACTTGATAGGTGACACAGTTAATGACTCTTGTTTGCACTTTCAGTTAAAGTAACAACTATGGAAAAAGCCAGTCTCAGCCCTAAGTAAACTGTCTTATGAGTTTCTGTCTCTCTCTCTCTCAGAGGAGTTGTACAGGAAGAGACTAAACACCAAATGTAAGCCTGAGCAGTACATAATGAAAATTGTTCTAAACCCACTGGCCATGTCTACTTTTGATCTCTCATTTATTTCCCTTCTTCAGACATGCTTCTCTGTTTCATTATCTTTCATTTCCTTCTGCTCTGAGGGGGAGTTTTGACAATCATCAGCTTGTTTCCTCAATAACTTGATGCATCTCTCCTCCCTTTCACTTCTTTGTTGTCTTTATCGATTCCTGAAGAAATAATATTTTTGTCTGTCATAGATAACTGCTTCTCTGGGCTACTTGCTTGGTACAATCATGGTCACTTACTAGCAGTCTTGTGCATATGATTGCAAACGCTGCAGCAAAAGTGCCTGTGTTTGCGTGCCCAGATGTGTCTGTGACTAATAATAACAACAACAGCAACAATAAATATATCAATAACAATTTACTTATTAATGTGCAACATCAAAAATAAGAATAGGAAATAGTGTGATTCCAGTGTAAAAAAAAAAAAAACTTCAAATGCAACATAAAAAAACAGAAGTTGAAAGAATAAGATGCAGCTGACCAATGATTATCAAAAAATATAAACTCTATAATAAGAAGAAGCTACTTTATTTTTCCATTATTCACAAGTGGGTGACACAATGGGGGGCTCTGCAGTTTTTAATTTGGCAGAGTTTTTACACTTGATGCCTTTCTTGAACGGGACCTGAAAGGGATAAAATTTATGAAAAAGCCTTACGCTATAAATTAGTCTTTAGAAGTGATTTAAAAGAAGACACGCTTGATAGTTTTTTGTCTTTGAGCGTGTGGTGGAAACAGGTTCTGCCTGAGGATCCGAGGCTGCGCACCAGTCGGCATGGGAAGAGCAATTTGAGTATAGATTTTGGGGTCAGGCCATGAAGGGCTTTAAAGCTAATAAGTAAAATCTTAAAATCAATACTGGGCAGTAGTGTGGAGTCATTAAGACTTATGCAATATGTTCAGTTTTCTGGGTGCTTGCAAGAGGTGTGGCTGCTGCATTTTGCACTATCTGAAGTCTATTTAATGCTTTCTGACTGAAACCTGTTAAAAGACCAATACAGTAAAAAGATCCAAGAGGAAATAAAAACATGAAAGATAGTCTGAATGTCACTAAAACTCAGTATTAATCATATTCTCACAATAGGTGGTCACAGACTCAAACTATGATTGATGGCTAAAAAAGTCTTCGATGAAAATAAATTTAAAAATAAATGGTTGGGAGAACTCTCGTGATGAATAAATCATTGATTTATGTGTTTGCGCCTTTCCTCGTTTTCTAAATAACTATATGCTACTAAAAAGATCTATTCATATCAAAATTTATATGACACGAGCAGAAGCCTATATAGATTTATAATCAGTGTTGGGGTTTCTCCTTATAGATCAAGAACTGCAGAAGCTTAGGAGTGGTATGAAATCACTGGCAGCTGCCAATGATGAAAAGGTACGTTTCTGGTGACCTGTAAACCTGTCCTTTCCCAGCTGTGATCATAGAGTAAAAGCTACCATCTGTATTGTCATCAGTTTACTGTCCTACAGGCCTGTATATGGATATGCTAACATCACTGCTTCTTCGAAGCTTATAGTGTAACAGTTTTTGGGCTGTGTCATTTGAAGAGGCAACACCCCTTCAACCATTTATAGCACAGAGGGGCTTTTGTATTCTCCCTCCAAGTGTATTTTCGACTTTAAAGACCCACAGACATTGACTTACATGTGGCACACCAGCGAAGACACACACGTACCCACACCCTAAGGCAGGCCATTTCAGGAAAAGCCACACTTAAGCAGGCCTCATTCTGCCAAGCCTAATTTTGGAGTGAGCTACATTAAGAGAACCATAGCAAAACCGGGCATGGGCACCACTTCAAAAAACACACACTCCATGCAGCTGGTTACCACAATCTCTATCCATTACTTTGATCTAAAGGCCATATGGTGGAGGAAAAACATTTGTGCAGTATATCGGTCAGTAACTGGATGAAGCAGGTAGTCCATATGGGTGTTTCCTAACCTTAAATAAACATCTTAATTGTATTTTATGGACTTTGGACACTTGTTACCTTGTTTTCTGCAGGACCGACGTATTGAAGAGCTCACTCTGCTCCTGAACCAGTGCAGACAGTTCAGAGAGGTCTCTAGTAACGCAAGGCAAGGTAATCAGCTTACTCAGTGCTTTATCATTCCCTTGCAGTGCTTATATTATGACGCGTCAGTGTGATGAAGCCCATCATGCGTTATTGTTTTAAAGAGAAATGGATTCTACTGCTTGTGTGGAATACAAAATCCTTCTCTTTGTTACTGTAGCACCATCTGCTGTCCGCACATTGTCGAATGGCAGGAGCCTGTCAAGCAGCAGTGAGGAAGAAGAGCAGGGTCTGATGAAGAATGGTGACACCTCGAGTGCAAAATCGGAGGATGTGAAGTCTGAAGTGGGTGCAAAAAAATAAATGAATCTGCTGGTCTCAAAAGAGCTGATCGATTAGTTCCTTAAATATTTCAATATAAGCACAGCCTAATTATTTTAATTGTATATTAAAATGTTTATTAACCGCAGGCTTCGACAAACAGTTCTGCATCCCAGCAGACATCGATTTCATCAGTCCAGAAAGACAGCGATTCCAGGTAGTGCAGCAGCTTTTCATTAAAGGGTCATTCCAATATTTCTTAGGAGGACTGAATTTATCGATTGTGATTGTCTTCACAGATCAGAAGTACAGACTTTATCAAGCAGCATGAATGACATAACAAATGGAAGTGCGCAAAAGGTATATTTCTTAAAATGTGATACAATTCATATGAAGAATGTTTTAGCTCACAATGCTTCCCTGCTTAGTTCTTTTATAGTTTAAGATCTGTTATACTGTTTCTGATGAACGCATAAGAGAATCACAATTAACTATACATTTACAGATGTATTTATATTTATATTCACAGATTTCTTTTATCATTTAGAAAAGTCACTGTCTTTTCTGTTTGTATCTACTCTGTTCATCCAGACTGGCCCGAGTGAAATGAGAAGTCACACGCTGCCTGTGAATTCCTCTCTGTCAGAACAAAATGGGATCGGAGACAGCAGCAGTGAAATACAGAGTCAAAGGTCTCCAGCTGGGAGTGAAGACGGAGACTCAAGCCAAAGTAAATCCCAGCATATTAAATCAAGTTTTCCTGACTGCTGCTTATGGTTATTTATTATATAATGGCTGGTGTTCTGTAATGAACCTTGGTGTACTGCAGAATCCGTTCTCCATTTCTATGGAGAAGGCGATAGCCTTGTAATTCCCATGAGTAAAGGCGGTATTCATATTTGGAGGAAACCACTTTATGTCGACCAGGCTACTTTTGATCATAGCTAATTGCAGAGCCTCCTGACAGAGCAGATGGATCATGGTATAGACTTTCATACTGAGCACGCCCTCTCTCTTGCTCTGATTGACCACATTCATCCCAGCTCCACCCATCCACAGCATGACTGACCAATTTTAACTTGAGCCCCACCCTGATTTCTCTTTGCTGCAGTCTGCAGGAGTGAGATGACTGTCTGTAGCCTCTACCTCTACCATAAAGATCAGACCTTGTAAAATTTAGCCTCTAATCCCTTTCTTTTTCATGGGGCATTAACTGATGAATTATTTGCTGAACTCAATGGCCTGTATCCTGAGTCTCTCTACTGAATAGAGCACTGTGTAGCAGCCGGCCACCCTGCATGCACCACTTTGCTCCTAATGTCCTCTTTGCTATGAAAATGTAGGAAAAAAACAAAAAGCTTTTTATGGGTTTTTACTCAGTCACCACCATCATCATCAGGAGTTCAACGCTGCTCGTGCCAAAATTACAGGAAACAGCTTAATCATCCATAGAGGCAATCAATCAAATGTGACTTATTTGGCAGGACTACAGTGGAGCTTTGTCTGCTTATATTATCAGAATAAACTCAAATTTTCAAATGCATCTTTAATTTTTTTATGGTTTAACTGGCCATGTAGAAGACACTTTGGATCATATTTTTACTTTGTAATTTACATAACATTTACTGTGGTTTTTGTATCCTCCCAAAGGAAAGCCAGAGAAAGGTGATGACAGCACCTCAAGTGACACTTCCCCTGTTCATTCTGGCCAGCGAGCTGTGGGCTCACCAGAATACATGAAGAATAACAGGAGCTTCAAGAGACTCTGGGGAAAGTGAGTTTGGGAGCATACATAAATACATCAAATACACAGTGCATTAACCTAAATGACTGCCAGATAGCTGGAAAAAAACCAACAACTAAGAAATGCAAAAAAGTTTGATTGATTTGGACATTTATGATTGATTGATTGATTGATTAACACATTAAATTATGTGAACATGGCATGTACCCAATGGTTTATAGGATGTATGTCTTAAATGTACATATATATTTATAAAAAATACTTGTATGCACTCTGCCTTATTTCTTTACTTTTAGACTTTTTTTAGCTGTTACTGGAAAAAGGTGTTACTGAATTGATAAATTAAATTGACAATATATTCTGTTTTTGCTATTCTGTTTTCTTTTTTGGATTAAAAAAAATACATGATAACTGTTTCCAGTCACATAAAAAAGATTTATCAAACTCTTGCAGTCCTGTGAAACTAAGTACACCCTGTGATTTGGTATATTATTTGAAACAAGAAACAATAACTTCACATTGTTGTTGAGGAATTTTGGCACATTCTTCTTTACAATGTTGCTTTAGTTCATCGAGTCCTGTGGGCACAGCTCTCTAAAGGTCTTACCACAGTATTTTAGTCAGGTTAAGGTCTGCACTTTGGCTGGGCCACTGCAGCAACTTGATTTATTGTTCTTTTTCCAGCCATTTTGTTGGAAATTTGCTGCTGTGGTTGGGTCATTGTCCTGTTGCATGACTCACTTTTGGTTTAGCTTTAGGTCTCAGACAGATGACATTACATTTGTCTGTAGAATACCTACAGTACAGAGGAGTTAAATCATTTTGTGATCAATGCACTTGACTGCTGTAGACCAGCAAACTACCTAAACTTTTCCCTTTTACAGAGGTGCTCACACTTTATTATGAGCAGCTAGTCCAGTCCATTTGATAAACAGCATCTGGCTGTTACTGGCCCTCTGGTTACTGTTACTGGTTTCTATGGAAACAGTTGAGGTGTACTTACTCTTTCATAGGACTGCATAGAGTACCTTGAAAGCTTTCTTTTCAACATAACTGTATATTTTAAAAACATTACTTTGAGAATTAATAACTGGCAGTGTTTCCAGTCACATAATTTTCTCTTCTCCACACAGACTTAGAAGAACACAGTCTGGAGGCCTTCCCGCTACAGATCCAGATTCTGGGCAATTTAGAAGAGGGGGACTGCGTGCGACTGCTGGTCCCAGACTGACCCGAACCCCTGAATCATTTGACTCAGCACGGTAAAACGCTATCTGATCTTGTAATACAATATTTTAAGGGTTATGTATCTCTGAATTGACCCTTGTAATTTGCTGTTTTAAAATATTCTGCTGTGGTTTTCATGCCACATCCTCTTCATCACCATTTCCCAAATGGCTACAATGAAACACGACTATTGGCTAATTTGTTGTTTAATAAAATTACCATAAATACTTGAAAATATGGCAATTAAAAAACCCTTCTCCTAATAAAATAACAATTTTTAACGTTCATTTTTAAAACTTCTTTCCTATCAGTGATATGAATATTCCATTCAGCCAGTGGACCAAGGAGCAGGTGTGTGGCTGGCTAGAGGACTATGGATTGAGCCAGTACGTTAGTCTCTCCAGACAGTGGGTTGAAAATGGACAAACACTTCTGTCTGCCACACCTCAGGATTTTGAGAAGGTCAGAATATAAACCCCTTACAAGCTATTTACATAAAAAACCAAATCTCAAATTTTGAAATAAGTTACACTCTATATCATAAATTAAAATTCATTTTTATGTCTAAATATTAGACTTCATCAGAATTGCACATGTAGAGAAAATGAAAATACCTCAGTATTTGTGTGATAAGACAAACTGTTCTTTGTAACCTCAGGAGATGGGTATGAAGAATCCACTGCACAGGAAGAAGTTGCAGCTCGCTCTGCGTGCATTCACCACTAAAGCTATAGAGAAGTCCTCAGAGCTGGACCACATCTGGGTCACCCGTAAGCCTATTTGTGTGGAATTATTTCAGATTCTCAGGCTTATGTGTTCACATGTAAATCAGATCTACAAATGCCATACCAACAAGAATATTAAACCAAAGAAAACAAAAACAACTGTAACTGTAAATGCAATTTTAACCTTCCCTCTAAACTCTTAAATGTCTTCTAACTAAGCAGTTCCAGTGGACATGCTTTAAACATGTGAAGCAACATTAAAGTGAATGAATGAAGTTGACGGATTCTGTTTTGAATTTTACACACCAATTCAGGCTGGCTGGATGATATTGGATTGCCACAGTATAAAGACCAGTTCCATGAAGCTCGAATAGATGGTCGGATGATACAATATCTCACAGTGGTAAGGATTAATCTTACACATACTGCTTTAGATTTTCTGTAATTTGTGGCCTGCAAATGCATTCATCTGGCTTTAAAATATAACTTAAAACCCTAAAAAGTGCATTATAATGAATTGACAGATTTTCTACTGTGCTCATGCTTATATGTCTTTTTTTGTTTTCCTGTTCGGACAGAATGATCTCTTGACTCTAAAGGTTACCAGCCAACTCCACCATCTTAGTATTAAGTGCGCAATTCATGTGCTTCATGCCAATAAATTCAACCCAAACTGTCTTCGACGTAGGCCAGTGGAGGAGGTAGGACTTTTGAAAGCTGTGTCCCTCAAATAGAGTTTCCGAGCGCTGTAGAATCAACACATTATGTTGTTTTGTTTTTTTGTTTTCTTTTCACTTTCCTTTGTCACCTGAGTTTATGTAACAATTACTCTACTTTTTCATGTTATCCAGTATTCTTTGCAAAAAAAATTGTAAATCTTAACAGCTGAAGCTCAGATATAACAAGCTTCTATAGACATTTAGGAGGTGATGCTCTGGCTGATGTAATCGCATCCATTTCCCACAAGATGGCGACAAATAGTTGTCAAATATTTGTCAAGATAAAGCATCTAATTTTATATCTGCTTTCAAAAGCCTTCAAGACTATTTGTTTATGTATTTCTTTAATGTGCTTAGAATGAGTTTTACACACGTACATGTATAATAGAAGGTGGGGGTTTTTTAATTTCTTTTTTAATTTTGCTTTTAGAAACATCCTCCTCCTTCAGAAGTAGTGCAGTGGTCTAACCATTGTGTGATGGAGTGGCTGAGAGCAGTTGACCTAGCTGAGTATGCTCCTAATCTACGGGGCAGCGGTGTTCACGGTGGACTGATTGTAAGTCATGTCAATTTGTGATTCGTTTCTTTGTGATCGTACCAGTTGTATGTGCTTATACTAGATGGGAGCAGAGAGTTCATTATGTTGCCTTTATCTTTGGCAAACATAGATTCTGGAGCCTCGCTTCAGCTCAGAGACTTTGGCCCTGCTTTTAAATATTCCTCCGCAAAAGACTTTGCTCCGTCGTCATCTCGCAACTGCATTTTCTGCTCTGGTCGGGCTTCAGGCCATGCAGGAGAAACGAGAATATGGCAATGCTACGGGCCATGTGCCTCTCACTACAACCGCAAAAGTAAAGGTAAGATCAGTATTTAAATCAGTGAAATACTATGCAGCCTATAATCAACATTATTTGTTAACACATTGGCCTTTTGTGTGTTTTTAGCCGAAGAAGCTGGGCTTCACTCAATTCAGTCACCTCAGAAAGAGGAAGCCTGATGAATCTGCGGACTATATCTGCCCGATAGACAGTGGAGCACTAACAGTAAACGGAGTTTCTCGCCTGCCATCTTCAGCACAAAGGGGCCTCAGCCCCAGGTTGGACAGACAGGCTGAGAGGGAGGAACAAGTGGGGATCAAAGCTCAAACTAATGGCCCCAAACAATAATTAAAATAAAGCACGGAACGCCATGCTGCCCACCCCACATATATCTAAGTGACTTCATAAATCCAGCGGAAATTCTAATGCAGACATTTACCCATGATGCACCTGCGTTGTGATTTGCTGAAAGGGCTGTGATGCAGTATTTAGCAATTGTTAATTGTTGTTAATGTTTATCTAATTAGATAATATTCATCTTAAGAAGGTGATGATTAATGACAGTGTTTGAATTGTTTTAATAAAGCTACTCTGCATTCCTTATACAGTGGAATTCCAAGGCTTACACTTTTGCTTTTAAGCATTTTATCAACTATTTTGTATGTAGACTTCTTTAGACTTAGTAAGAATAATGATGACCTTTTCTTGTTGCACATGTGGATTTTTGTACAGTGTAATAACAGATCAAAATGTTTAAAGTTATCTTTAAGGCTTCTGTATAAATCTGATTAAATGTTTTTTTTGCAGCTTCAAATAAGGCTTGTTGGTTTATGGGAACCTAGAACCCCAATTTTGTCCTCATTTGCAGTAATTAAAACTTGTATTATATTTAATTTAAAAAAAAAGATCCATAACACTAGTTTCCAATAATTTGTGATGCCATCTGATACTTAAAGACTTAAAGAGACTAAAGACTGCCCAGTAACAGTCAAACTTTAATAAGAAACAAAGAATTGATATCAGGAGAAAGTCTGAATATTTGTTTTAATGGAGCTGATAATGGTGCAATAGTGCATGTTTTGATTTTGTTGACGATTTAATAAATTCATCAAAGAACTAATGTTCTCTATATTGGAGTAGTTGTATAGTTTTCACACAGTTAAAATATTTTTTCTAAAGCATCCTCTAAAGCATATATAGGGGTAAATATATGTAGTCATTGTGAAGTAACTGTTATCTGCAGAAAAATGTTCTGTGGCTTTATTGTAAAGTCAGAATAAAATAAAATGGAAACTCTGTAAAGTTTCTATGGCAACTATTTCTGACCCGTCCAATTCACGAACCACCCATCCCAAAACTATTGTAATAATACCTTAGGAAAAGGGAAATCCATTGTCTATTAATCTTGAAGATCAAGATGCTAACAATGTTTGACTTTGATGCAATAAAATTGAATTGAATGCATCTATGGCTATACAACTAAACAACATTTATGCATTCATCTGTAGGTTCAACCAAACTAAGGCTGTGGTGATATAGCAGCTCACAGATGATGAGTAACTGCCTAAATTCATCTAATTCTGTCTTTTTTCTAAATGAGACCTAGAAAGTGACATCGCTGGTCAGAGTTCCAAATAAAGTCTTAATAACTGACTCAGTGTTGGTGTGTTTGCACACGGTTGCAGAGCTAGGGAATTCACTAGGATCCTGCCAGCATTTCTGGAGCTGGCAGTCAGGGCAGCAGTCATTTTCTCTCTTAACCTTCCTGCAGAAGCACACAGCCTCAATTAGACCAAACACAATAATTAGTGAATCTTTTACCTTTGCATATCATTAGTTCTCTAACAGAGAACACCCTGATCAATGATTATAAATGACAGGTTCATAAATAAATTAATCCTGCTGACAAGAGTGTAACACCACTCAATTGATCCATGTTAAATGGAAATTAGAGGGATGCAGGAGTAAGGACTCAGAAAGCAGGTATTACAGATTTAAAGTTAAAGTGATAAAGAAACTTTTTTTCATAATGATGCATATTAGGTATCTAATGTTTATGACATAAAGCTTTTTAGCATTCATGCTTAGAAAATGTTGAAATAAAGTTTTTTTGTTTTTATTTGAGCTTTTTTTTAAACCAGCAGATGTCAGTGTTGCCTGTGCATGCTGTATTGTGGCAAACTTGGCAACGCTGAAACTTCACGTTGACTCAGTGAGGTGCAGCACAGAGGATTCAGATAGAAAAAAAAAGAATTGTATTCAGTTTTCACATTTTGAACTATAGGGATTTCTCAAGGTTGATATTGTTTTTATTAATTCAGTGACACTGCCTCAGCTGATAGTTTACTATATGAGCTATAGTATGTCTGTACTTCCCTACACTGGGAATGGCACGTAAAGTTGTATGAATTGGAACACTGTTGTTATACCTATCTAAATAACATGAGAGGATATCACATCATCAATCAAATGTCCTGTGGAATCTCTGAGTTTTTGTCCAATGCTTACGTCAGTCATTTTATGCTATTTTCTCCACAGTATAGTGTGAGTGCATGCGTGTGAGCTTATCTGTAGTATGCATTCATGTGTTAAGAGAGGGTGGCATTGTTTATAATAGAGCATCTTAGGCTAATTTCAGTAATGTGATCCAGCCCGCACTAGCTGACAGTTTAATAGCTATTATTTGTGTCACCCTCCCTCATAATGTGTTAGCAGTAAATTGCCATGTGCAGGAGACTGTGGTATGACTGACATCTTACCTTGCAATATGATATCTATTGTTTTAATTAAGTGAAAGCGTCTGCGACATTTATTGGTTTCCAAGTTACTTGTTAATGGCAGTGCGGGGGGAAAAAAGTGTTAGTAAATTATCATGGTTTACATTACATAAATAATTTGCAAACCCTTTGCTAATGATTACACATTATTCTCCCACTGTGACTGTTAAGTTATCTGAATACATCACAAATATAACACTGCACTGGTGATGGAACTCCTCCTTGGCAATGCCTGAGCCTTCAGTCATCCATCTCAGCTTATTTCTGTGTGTGAGTGGCTCCGAGTAAGGTTTATTTATTCTGTGCCCCTTTTGTGGTAACATTTAACATTGAAATTAGAGAGGCAAACTTTTATTTTGTTGCCAAGTCCCCTGCTTAAAGTAATGCCAGTAGCCAGCGTATTAGTGCTTTAAGTCATCACCCTGTCTGTTTGATCTATGGACTCACTAAGATCTCTTTAGTGGAACATAATCATGTTTTTATGTGATGTCACTGGTCGTTCCTGTCATTAACTTGCCACCAGCTTGCCAGTTTGGGGAACATATTCAATAGTAGGGTGGTGCATGTGTTGTATACTCTCCATCCAGCCACTAAAGCTGTATTTGTCTCCAGCATACCAGTTTGTTCTGACAGGCCTGCCACAATGATGACTACATCATCCAGACGAGGCAGAGCAGCTTGCGAGCCAACCATGACACGCCGTCAAAAGGAGCAGCCAGCCGTCTACATGAGCCTTCTTCTGCCCCATCAAACCTCAGAGCCCATCTCATCCTGTACAGCCAGTCACCATCAACCAGGCTGTTTCTCTCTGTTTGCTTTCCATGCTGAGTACATCCCATGGAAGAGTCCTATGTGGCTTATATTTTGCTTTATAATATTTACTCCCAAATTTCAGTGGCTATAAATCTTCTTGAATTATCTGCAGTCGATCTGAACTTACCACAAAGAAATTATGACAGTAGTGGTCCAAAACAAACATGATGGGATGTGATTTGGGGAGCTGAAGTAGAAGAGCTTGGTTATGATCAGCCCCCTTGGCGCCAAAGGAGCCTTTTTATTGGTAGCCAAGACACCCACTGCCCATTCCTCCCCACCCAGCCCCCACAGAACGTCATGCCTAGTTGGTGGACTGTATTTTCATTCCCTGAAAAATATGGCTAGCCCATTGAGAGAAAGAAGAAAGATTAGACAACGCTATTAGGCAATTATAAAGATAAGACCTAAGACCAATTAAGCATGGATTATGTTGCACTGTTAGATAAAGTTGAAATCATTTTTGTTACAATAATTGATTGTTGTTAACCTAAATACTGCAGATATATGTGACCTGCTGAGTTTCAATCTTATCAATTTCTATTGGCCTGAAGATATGGGAGTAAAGGACAAAATATACCAGTTTTGTTAAAACATAACATCAGCAATATAACATTTGTTTTGCAATACACTCTAGAATCATATCATAATGAGTACTCTCATTTATTCCATGTTCTATAAACATTGCACATTGGTACAAAAAACTCCAGAACCTGTGGGACGATGACATGAATGACACAAGGGTCAACATGTAGGTTCAAATAAATGACTGCAGAGAAAAAGAATCGAGCACTTTAGAAATAGTCGCCCCCTTCTCTCTGTCTCTCGCTATCTTTCTCTTTTTCTGTCACTCTCTCTCACACACACACACACACAAAGACAGAGAGAGTGTGAGCAAAAATGAACCAGGTAAATCGGAGGTTAAACAAATGATTTAAAAGAGACCGAAAAGGGAGCGTTTAGAAACCATTCGGTTTCTAAATCTTTGTTCAAAACTGTTATAAAAGTGCTGAAACTCAGAAGACTTCCCATGACAGGGGAACAGACACAGTTTCCTAACCTCCAGCCATCATCATGGGTGATCAAGTCTGACATGCATCACCAGAGGCTTTCATGTCCAATGAGAACACCTGTCTGACTCTTAGGGTGAAACTAGACAGAGGAATGCCATGGCAAATAACCTTTCACATGTACTTCAGACGACATAATGATAATGTGTTCCAAAGCAGGGACAGAGACACAGAAAATAATTCAGGAGAGGATGCTTGTTTGGTGCACAATTAAACAATTACTTGAGACTAAATTGTCACTATAGATGTACAAGACGATCTCTGGATCATATTTTGAAACTCTTAAGGTTAGTTACATCTTTTCATCTGTTGTTCAAAGCTTCTGAAAAAAGCAAACTGGTTCAGAGCAAATGAGCTGTACACAAGCTGGGATTCCCCATTTCAGGGAGCTGTCTTAGAAGTTATGTTAACTGATTTATTCTTGTACATAGTGGCCAATAACAAGGACACAAAGAAAAAAAAATCCGTCACCGGAGGTTAATGCTGACAATGTGCTGAAAGGAATGACAGTAAACACTCTTGGAAGTGTTGCGAACTGAAAGTGTCATGTCAGTAACAAAGTATGTACGGTATGTATTGTACAATGCTGAGTATGCTCAACTGTGAAATTCAGATTTATGAAACTCAGCAGAAGTTGTTCAAAAATCATATTTTACATTTTAGTGAGTTGAAGCAACATATAATTCAAATCTAACTGACATGAACACATTTTAATTACAGTGAGTCACCCAGATTCAACAGGGGACATATTATATTTGCACTGAAGCACCGCAGCAATTTCCTAATGTTGTAAACCTCAACATCTGGCAATAAACCCCATTCTGATTCTGATTCTGATTCTGATTAAGGTTTTTTTTTTTTTTTTAAATGTAAAAATACAATTTAATACAACTTTATGTACATGGCATGTTTTTTTAAACAAAAAAACTAAAAAACTAAACAAAACATGCCACATAGACATATGCAAGCCTGACTGCCTAATTCATGCTGGATGAATTCATGAGGATGTAGTAACTATAGAAACATTTTTTGAATGGGTTTAATGCTCACATTATCAACAACCATGTCAATGGTTGAATAAACCAAACTTCTCAATGCTTTAAGATTTCATCAGCAAACCACTTCTTAAAAAAAATATTGAGTGGAAGTTCTGACATCCCGCTGGGATGCTTGCAATCTCTATACCAGTTAGCGCTTCACGTAAACTGCTTATCTTGTGACAAGATAATTTCCTTTGTGTAGGAGGGTTTCACATACAACATCATCATCTTTTACTATGAATGTGGTGGTTAGAGCCACAACTGCATTTATTTTCTATTTGTGCACGAGTTTTCATTATGCTTTGAGTTTTTACGTTTAGATCTAGGAACCGTAGCTGTAGGGTTGATATGATTTATGTTATGGTGCAAGCAGTTGAAATTGGAGCGCTGCAGTTCGAGGAAAGTCCCACACTTGCTGCCTACCAGTATCAATTTTCAGGTGGGGTGGACGTTATCATCAGAATAATCTGATTAAAAAAGAAAATCCGTGTGCCAGCCAGTCACTACATAAAATCCTATACATTAACACATAACAAAAATCATGTACTATCACTTAACATAATAAATAAAATTATTTTCATT